CAACGACCAGCAGCTCAGTCGAGCGGTATGATCCGGGGTTGGGTGCGTGGGAGGCGGTGGCGCCGATGGCGGAGGCGCGGCAGTCTGGCGTGGCGGTGCTCGACGGCAAGCTGTACGTGGTGGGCGGGTACGACGGCGGCCACCTCCGCTCGGTGGAGCGGTACGACCCGGGGTCGGATGCGTGGGAGGCTGTGGCGCCGCTGACGCTGGCTCGCTTCGGGGCCGGGGTGGCGGCGCTGGAAGGCAAGCTGTACGCTGTGGGCGGCAGAACCTCAGAGGAGGACGACGAGACTGAGGTTGACAGTCACTCGGTGGAGCGGTTCGACCCGGCCTCGAATGCCTGGGAGGAGGTCGCGCCGATGGCGACGGCGCGGGCCTTTTCTTTCGCGCTCCTGATGTAGAGAGGGGCATTAGGTGATCTGAGCTGTGAGCGGTGAAGGGCCGCGCTTTTTCCTTTTAGGACCCGGACGAGGGCGAGTGGTGCGGGGATGTTTTATTTTTGTCGAGCTGCGAGGCTCGCCCCGACAGTGACGGTGCCAGAAGCGCTCGTCGGTGTCACGGTCGGAACCTCGCGGGACGGAGACTCAGAGCCAGCACATACTGTGTGAAGGTGCGCTCGAAACGAGGGAGGACGAGCTGAGCAACGACATGTACTTTTTCTCGTGGCGGAGAATGATGTCGGTGTGGCTGTGGTGTGGGAATCAGACGCGACGGTACCGGGGTACGGCGGTTAGGGAGCCGGAGCGCGGAGGTCCCTACTGGCGCAACCAAAGCTCACGGCCCATGGCGCCCAGTGTGACCTTGTTTCCTTCCACCCGCTCTAAAGAAAAGTAGGGGAGGTCGTCAGTACTGCTACGCATATGTAATCGCCCAGAATGCACAGATCGGCCATGTTATGTAAATACGCGCCCGCGATCCATAGTGCGTCGGCCAGACGTCGCGTATTTCGGTGTCGTGTCCGAGCCAAGTGGCGCCTGAGGGAGCTACAAATGTCTTGCGTATTACGAATCTGTCTTCTGCATCCACCTTCGGCCGATCGGGGTGTGCCTCTCAAGGCGCGCTACGCCCCACGTACTACGCACACGCATTCCGGATCGAGTGAGAAGTGGTGGCCGACGGGGGTTACGCCTCACGCATTACGCATACGTTTTACGCATTCGCACGCCCAAGGTGTCGGAGAGGGCCTACGCACCACGTACTACGCACACGCATTCCGGATTCGAGTGAGAAGTGGTGGCTGACGGGGGTTACGCCTCACGTATTACGCATACGTTTTACGCATTCGCACGCCCAAGGTGTCGGAGAGGGCCTACGCACCACGTACTACGCACACGCATTCCGGATTCGAGTGAGAAGTGGTGGCCGACGGGGGTTACGCCTCACGTATTACGCATACGTTTTACGCATTCGCACGCCCAAGCTGTCGGAGAGGGCCTACGCACCACGTACTACGCACACGCATTCCGGATTCGAGTGAGAAGTGGTGGCTGACGGGGGTTACGCCTCACGTATTACGCATACGTTTTACGCATTCGCACGCCCAAGGTGTCGGAGAGGGCTTACGCACCACGTACTACGCACACGCATTCCGGATTCGAGTGAGAAGTGGCGGCCGACGGGGGTTACGCCTCACGCATTACGCATACGTATTACGCATTTGCACGCCCAAGGTGTCGGAGAGGGCTTACGCACCACGTATTACGCATACGTATTACGCATCCCCCCCCCAACCCCCTTTATGTGCGCGCACTGGCGCTCCCCATTAGGGGTTCCTTTTTATGGTTTGGCGTCGCCCTGTGCCCCGGAAACAGACTACTGCGCCTTACCTCTTGAAAGCCAATCCCTTAACCCCCCCCCACGCCCTCTTTTAATCGCGGATTTCCTCCCTGCTCTTCCCGGGATCTAATATAATAGAGCTTGCACGTACAACGGCGGTCGTGACAAACTATAACCTCGTGCTTTACTCTCTATTCGCTTTCTCAGAATCTCCCCGTTCTACTTGTTTTTATTTTTTGGCCTCATT